CCCCCCCCCCCCCCCCCCCCGTCGAAAACGTTTTAGGGAGAAAATTTATCCGGACGAGTACGTTGCAATTGCTTTCCAGTGACTTTACCCGCCCATCAACTTGCTTCACTAATGCAAAGTCTTGCTTGACTATAGTATTTGAATTGTAATTGTTGTTCACAGTTCGCTTATCATCGTGTTATTACTCAAATTACCGAATTTCATTTTGTCTCTAATAATTTTTTGCTTTATCATGAAAAATAGCCCCCCCCCCCCAGTAAATCCATCCCTGGATCAGATCAAGTTAGATCATTGTATTTCCTTGGCGCTTGATACGACGGTGTGTTGTATTTTTACAGCACTGGTATGAAGGTCATCTTAAAGACGGTGGGGAAACTGTAGCCGAAGGTCTACCTCCTCTTCCCAGAAGATGATTTTTACTCCCGAACAGAGATTACTAAATCAACAAGACCACACTAGTTATTTCCTCCAACTTTTTGCACGAAGGCTGGATGGGGCTATCTGGGTAATACTGCACTAGTTATTATCCCTAACTTTTTGCACCATGGCTGGATAGCGATTTTTCAATGGTTGTAAAAATTCTTGAAAAGTTGGACCTCAAGGCCCATTTCCACTAAAGGAAAATTCCCACAGACAGAAAATTTTCCGAAAATATCATTGTTAAAAGTTGAAAATTTTCAATTTCAAAATTTTTTTCCGACGGAAAATTTGTGTCGGCCAATCACATTTTACAATTTGTTTTTCTGCGGAAAATTTTTCCGAGTGGAAACGGGCCTCACAGTCAATAGAAATAGAAATTTTAATTTAAAATACTAAACTTTAATGTCGGTTATACCAATCAGTGGACAAAAGTTTTAAAAATTTCGAAAAATTTACAATCCTGTGGATTCGTATAACCGCCCCAGGTCGATTACTACATGGTCAGAGTTTATTCGTGTTCATGTTTTAACGTTGGGGAATAATGTAGTAATCGACATGGGTTAACACAATGTCACGATGTGGGAATATATACAGTAATAAGATATATTCCTTCGTTATTTTAAAACAATTATAGTGTAAAAAGAGGTTTATTGTACAAATAGTAGATTCACGGCTATGTGATACTTATGTATTAAAGTTAATTAAATTAACGAATTAAATTGTAAAAATTCATGAACACAGTTATTAGGATAACAAATTCATGAACACAGTTATTAGGATATAACGAGAATAAATACGTAAAATTAATTATCAATAAAAAGCACTTTGTTGTGTTGCGGTTTTATTTGATATTCATTCGGGAAGTTTTAATTGAATGAACTACCAGCAGCGTTTGATAAGTTGCTTCCCGATGTGCAGATACTAGTGCAACTAGACTAACTAGTTTCCATTTGTGAAAAATTAGTCTCACCTACTTTGGGATAAATTTTTCTTTTGACTTTTAGGGAAGAGCCTTTTTTTCTAAACGATGAATGTTGTTTCAAGCAGTCGAACAGAGCTTCCTTTATAGATATTAAAATAAGGATAAACTTCTCCTTTGAATCCATGTAAAGTTGCTTGAACATTGGTTCGTGTGTTGACAATTGTGAGTTTCTGTTGCTCGCAGTCGAGGGAGATCATCAACACATCTTCATTCCTCCATTGGCCAAACTCAGATCTTCGTATTCCGGTCAATTCCGAGTACTTGAGACCATCAGTAGTCCATACCCACTTGCCACCTTTATACCAACTCCCCACCTCTTCCCCGGGGGAACAGATGCCCACAGCACAGAATATACCCAAACCTTGGATCACCCACCGGTGTTGTCCCGAGAGAAAACCATGACTTCCAAGCAAAGTGTTGTCGTCCTCTACAGCAATTGCATCCAGGTTGTCAGGCGAGATCTTGCACACTCCATGAGCTCCGTGTAAATTTAAATGCCATGCGCAGTTTCTACTTTCTTGTTGGTTGAAAAGGTCTTGTTCTGTTGCCATTTCGTAAGCCACGGTTGATCTTGTAACAGGTCCGTCTGCTTCCAACATAATTTCACTGTCAACTATGAAATACAATGTATGCGTATGCAATTAGGCAAAGAAATTTTGAAGTTTTTGGCATGGGGTATTTGGGATATGGTAATGATATTTACGTATCATATAGTATTAAACATTAATGGTGACATTTTAATTTATCATAGTTATTGTGAGGATGGTGGTAGCGGTTATTGTAGTATCGATGATGGTGATAATGATTATTAATGACCTGTGTGTTGGAAGTGTAGAATGCAGTCATGTTGCATTTTTTTTAGAAACGACTTATTTCATTCAACTAATAAAATATAAACCAATTACATTACCTGCCATCAAGTTGCCATCATCCCAAATCTCTGAATATCCTTCATAGTCTTCGTGCACCCTGCTATCCATTGTCTGTTCATCACCAACATCCTGATTCCATTCTTTAGCAGAATTCTTGAAAATATTGACTCCCCTGGAAACTTTGACTCGTTCTCCTCGATACATGAACGTGCTTGATTGGAACCATTTCTTGCGATTATCAATAACTTTAAAGAATGTCTTGCTTTGTCCATCAGTGTGGAATACAGATTGTGCAAATGACCATACCGGTGGTCGGCTTTCTGTAACAGATGGTGGTACTCCTATGTGTGTGGTGCTTGAGGATTCATATGGTAGATCTTCTGATGGTGTTGGTAGGTGATGGTTAATCTCTACATGTCCAGTATCTTCTGTAGGTGGTGTTGGTAGCCTTTGTGCTTGTATGATGCCTGAGGGTCGGTATGGTAGATCTTCTGGTGGTGTTGGTAGGTGATGGTCAATCTCTACATGTCCAGTATCTTCTGTAGGTGATGTTGGTAGCCTTTGTGCTTGTATGATGCCTGAGGGTCGGTATGGTAGATCTTCTGGTGGTGTTGGTAGGTGATGGTTAATCTGTACATGTACAGTATCTTCTGTAGGTGGTGTTGGTAGCCTTTGTGCTTGTATGATGCCTGAGGGTCGGTATGGTATTTTGGTGTCTAGATCATCCGATGGTATTTCTTGCGTTGGCTCTTGTTGCAGGTGATGGTCCATTTCTATAAGTTGAACTTCTTCTCCAGGTGTTTTTGGTGGTGATTGTGGATAGCTTATTTTTACTGGACTCTGCTGTTCTGGTGCTGTAGACATTTCTGCTAAACGATGGCTTATTTCTTGTTCAATTTGTTGTGTATTGGTTGTTGTTTCTGTGCATCGGTCCTCTGGTTGTGAATAATGGACAGTGTAAAGGTTCGTCTCTTCCTCTGGAACTGCACCAGCTTTTATGGTTGTCATTGGTGTTGATGATGGTGGTGGTGGTAGTGGTAGTGGTGGTGGTGATGACGATGGTGGTGTTTGTAGCGGTGACGTTGGTGGTAATGGTGATTGTGGTGGTGTTTGTTGTGGTAACGACGGTGGTGGTGATGATTGTAAAAAGCCGATCCTTACTTCCTCGTCGTCGTTTACCAGCTGGGTTGCTTGGATATCGCAGATCTCTTGATCATATATTTCGTCTTCTTCTATAGATGGCAAGTATACTGGGGAGGCTACCTGTGGGTGATTCAGTTGTTCAATCATTGCATAACTAACAACAAAAGATTTCTCAGAATCGTCTTCTTCATGAGAGCTGATCTTCTTCCCAACTTTCCACGTGTCCATATCATAGTTCAATTCAAAATACGTCTTAGGAGATTCCGGTTTGCCAAATCGTTGAAATAACAAATAAGATGTGCTGACTTGATTATGATTTTGAATATCCATGGTGGTTCTATACTCATTTCCTTTATCCTGAGTTCCAGCATTTGGGGTTACATCGATATTTATGTTAAAATTGTTTTCGGTAGTCGGTATTGCCCTCGAGTGTGATGTGTGATGGTGTTCGGAAATGTCGGATTGTTTTGGAACATGAAGAGGGTTATTTCTTCCACCATTGATATTTTTACCATCTACGGTAACTTTGACATCAGCAGTGTGGCTCTCAACTTTGTACACGTCCTGTTGTATGTTGGAATAAGATGCACGTAATATTTTATATTCGGACGTCGTTGTTTCAGGGTTTGAATAGGAGACTGTTACATCCCAAGGAACATCGTGAGTCATCAGATAATCCTCTCCGTTTCTTTGATGTTGTGTGTAGCTTTGAGTTGACTCTGAAGATGATTCAATTGAGGCATCGTAATTACTTGTGACAGATGATAAATCGTCTGGAATTGGCGAGGCTGTACATTGCCTTATTTCATCATCACTTCTGTCTTCCTCGTACAAGTGTTCTGAATTCATAGGATAGTTTGGATGTGATATCACCAAAATGAGTTCATCTCTATTCTTGTTACTCAACCCAATGTCTTTTGAGGCCGTGGACACAACTTCTTTCATAGGAAACACCTTCTGGTCATTGAAAGTGATCTCCCAAACGTCATCTTGTAGATTTTGTTCCTTAACGCTCAGACCGCCATCATTCTTGTCTTTTTCTGTTTGAACAATCTCAATTTCGTTGTTTTGAAATGAAATTAAATCTGACGTAGACGCCATTGATTTATCGATATTTTGTGTTCCCGGCTCCGTTCTTAGTTCAGGCAATTCAGAAGATTGTTCAAGTTGTATATTATTTATTTTCTCTGTAATAGGTTGTTGAATGATCGAGTCAAAATATTTATCAGTTTCTGAGAGGTAATTTTGCTTGTCATGTTGTGTTTCCATCTTGTTTGGAACAATCTCCTGGACGTACTCAGGCTTCAACACTTCATCAAGTTGAGAGAAATACTTGTATTGCAAACTCCTTTCGTCTACAGCCTTTGTAATTACTTCAGGAACTTCTTTCTCGGATTGAGATGAATACTGTTCATTCAAGTGTAGCATTACAGCTTTCTGCGTGGCAAATTCTGACAAAGAAACTTCATTATTCCCTTCAGGATACTTCACACACGCTTCTATTCCCTGTTCTTCCATTCCTTCTTCCGAAGTGAAAAATTCGTCCACTTCTGAAAAAGTTTCATACTGGATCCTCTCTTCTTTACTTATCGTTTCTTGTATTTCATTCTCTTGTAGAAAAATTCCATCAAGCTCACTGAACAAATTCTCCGTCTTTTCTTGTTTAGGAATTTCCTCTGCCACCAATTCATCCATTTCAAAACTCATCAAATGTTCAGACAAACGCTTATCTGTCATTGTTTTAACATCTACTTTATGAACTGTCTCATGAATCTGATAATCTGATTCCAATTTGGCAAAATAATCTGGTTGCACGCTATTCAAAGGTTCCGTCGGTGTGATGGCATCGTTTATGATTTCGTTTGTTTCTCGCGAATCAGGCAAAGATTTTTCATGAACGTTTCCCATGAATGTTATATTTGTTGTAGCTTCTTCCGTCTGGAAAATTGGTCGCTGAATTTCATCGATCTTGTCCAGTTCAGTTTCTCCGTTTTCTAAGCAAACTGTCGTTTCGAGTTCGTGGTCAGCGGTTAAAAGGTCTTCGTGCAACTGCTTTGTGTAATCCACTTGACCAGGAGAATTCTCAGAATTGTCTTGATCCATGATTATTTCCAGTTCAACTGGATTTTGTTCCAAGTTATTGTCAGCCGGATTGCTTTGGATAACTTGCTCTTCGACAATAGTGCTACCGATACTTTCTTTCTCAGCTTCTTGCAAGAGATCCGAAATGCTATCGTCCGCCATGGGTATAAATCTCTCTTTCTCGACATTTATTTGTATTTCTACTTGGCTAACTTCAACATTTTCCTCTCGTGAATATGTCTCTTCACTTTCATTTGGGAATAAATTGAGTGTAACTACCGTCGGTTTGCGCTCAGGGCTTGTTGGTTTCAGCTCACTGTCCAAAACTAGAACATTGAATGCTCTTGAAAATTTCTTGGAAACATTCATTGTACGAAGAGGTATAATGAAAGCATAACTCCATTTGTTTCTGTTTATTTCCAAATTTGTTGTGATAATCGTATTTTTCATGTTTTGTTCCTTTGTATTTTCTTGAGAGAAGCCTAATCCTTCCTCGTTGCCAGCCATTAGTAAATCCGCAGTGTTTAGACTAAAGTCTACCCCATTCTTTTCTCGCATATTCAGTTCAACAGCACTTTCGTCATTTCGTTGGAAATCACCTGCTTCGTTTTGTGTTGCTAAGTTTCTTTCTGAATTATCTGGTGTTTGAAGCAACAACTCCTGAGTCTGTGTAGTTTGTAAAATAATTCCCTCGTCAATAGTTTCCTCTGTATTTCGATGTTGGACGGCTTTTTTCTGTTTTCCGTTTTCAAAGTCTGATACGCGAAGTGTCTTATCCGGTTCTGCATTCAATAACAGGTCTTTATCACTATTACTCGTTTCTTCAAGTGCCATTGTATTTCCTGTTAGTACATCACTAATATATTCTTCAACTGTCGCTTTCTGTTGCGGACATTCGTACAAGGTTATCTGTTGTATCTTGTTTCCTTCAACAATATTAGAGTCTTCAAAAGTTTCTTTGTCAACAGCTGTACGCTCGTTGTTATTTTGTTCCCAAGTAGTCCATCTTTCTGCTTCGGTATCATTGAACGATTCTTGTTCTTCAAAGCTTCCTTGGTTCTCTTTGAAAGTGAACAACTTCTTGTTAATATCCTTTGGTATATCTAGAGTTGGTGATTTAATGATTGCTTCGTCCACACACCATCCTTGTTCATCTCCCACACATGAAATATCTTTCGCCATCGTCTGCTCTCTGTCATGTACTTGTCCGTTGCTGTAGAAGTCTCGTTTGGGAGAATCTTTAAGTCCCAACAAACAAAACATTCCCATCATATTCTTGATAAGAGAGTTATCTGCAGTTTCCATTGGCGAATCAGCATTCCTGGCTGTATCTGTGGTGTCATTTAGCCAATCGCTGATGGGATCGTGTGTCGAGTTATATAAAGATCGATCGCAATCATTGTTGAAATGTACTGGCCGTTCTTCAATGGTTTGTGGTGTTTCACAACTCCTCCCATATGAGCTGTTGTTTAGCCGGTTGTTCTTGGGTTCATTAATGCGCGAGTCAAGTAAATATTGATCGCAATCCACAGTAGTTTTGTCATCTTCTGTCACAGAAATGCTTGACTGTTGAATTCCCGAAACTTTAACTGTGGCGATAGTACTCTCTCCTTTGTATTCCGTCTTTTGCCATACTTCATTTTCATCACAAGAAGTGGTCTTCAAAACTCGGAACGAAATTGGTGATATATTACAAGATTGTGGGATAATTGTCGTAGAAAATCCTTCGCTCTTAACTGTTTTATCAGAAGTTGGGATATCATCAATCGCTGGTTGGGGGCCAGTCGTTTCCTCCATTCGTAGAACCGTTGAATTTGTCGTTGTGCTTCGACTGCTGTCATAATTCCATTCTATTTTTGGCGCTTCAGAAGTCAATATGTTGTAGTTTGTGTGAAAAATCTCCATGTCCGAAGTGGGACATAGCTTGTTAACAGCTGCATCTTCTTCTGTTGAAGTGCATAAGTCTACATTGTCATTTTCAGAATTAATCACACTTACAGCAGCTTGCTTTTCTTCATTTCCATTGGCTGTTTTCTGTCGCGGTAGCGTTGTTGTCTTTGTAGCATGATTAGTATTCACATCGTCTGTAGTGCATCTTTCCTCCTCGTGTGATGTCCTCCATCTTGAATCTTTCGTTGTTGTTGCCTCGCTATAATTTCTTTGCTCATCAACTGTTGTATTTGAGTCGCAGGTTTTGGAACTACCTCGACTAAAAATCTCATGTACGCTTTCATGTGAAAGTTTCTGTGGTTTTTCACTCCTTAGCAAGTCATCCACGTTCAACCCCGACATTTCGTCATTCCGTTTCATCCCTGCTTCATAATCCTTGGTATCCACCCCTTGTTTCAAAATCGTTTCCTCGCTCATGCCTTGTCGTAGCTCAACTACATCAGCACTTACAAAACGTTCACTTCCATACGTATCAACATTTGAGTTCATATCTTGTCTCAACGAACTCAGACTTTCTAAAGACTTCCTAAGATCAGCTTTACCTGAATGTAAAATGGTTTGCCAACCTTTGTCGAAACGTTCACTTTTTTCGTCATCATTATTTTTAGATCCCGAGCTGAAGACAGGATCATTTGCACCTGGATGTTGCGCATGCGTCGTAGGTTCTTTCTCATCAGTCACGATGTCTAATTCCTCAAACATTGCAGATGTTGAATTTTTTGCCTCATTGGAAGAACTTGTACTTTGTTTTGTCGTTTCGATTTTTAACCTGCTCGTACTTAGCTGGAAACGTGCTTCATTCCCCGTGTTCGTTGCCCATTTCGTTTCCAGCTTGAATTTCGTGTATTCGTGTTTCGTTTCCGTGACAGACATGCTTCCATTTCCGTGTTCGTTATTTTCCCCGCGTTTCGTGCTGCCTTCATTTTCGTGTTCGTTTTCAAGATTCATTTCTATATCCAATCTCGTAACAAAATCTTCATGGGTTTCTTTTTCTGTGACGTCACCGCCGTCGGAAGACTGGTAACTATCACCAAATAAATCGGGAGAACTTTTACTAAATTTACTCAAGCTAAGATTCCGCCTTTGTTTCCTCGTGTATCCAGTAAGATCCTCAACAGATCCACTAATATCCTTAGAGGATGCGCCATAACCCCCGCAATAGGTATATCGGCTATTCAGTGTAAACAAGTGGCGACTAGGCGCGTGCGCGATATACGATTCGTTAAACGGTATCTTCGGTTGTGTTTTATCAGAGGGGACTAGGTCCGAGTCTAGGTCAGTTTGTCGAAGATCTTCGACGCTGGAGAAATCGAAAATTGATCGTCGGGTTTCGGATTGCTTCGTGAGTTTGGAATGTTTATCATCCATAATGCCGTGCGGTGACCTCAAGGCTCTATTTTGAAAGGAAATAGTTTTCAATATTTTTGGCTATAGTCGACTTTAAATATTTTTGCTTAATTTCCATAATTATTAACAATGTATATTACAAATTAACGATTTCTTAGGCCACTCCTAAACCATACAATTCTTATTTCAAATTTTGATCGTCGACTTATTTAGCTTATATCCCACACAAATCCGTAATTCTAGCCACATTTTGAATAAATCGCCAAGTTTTCGAAACTACTTTTGCAAGTTGCATGAAACAGCTTGATACTTTTCTATTTCGGAATGTGGAATGTTGTCATCTAAGTATTTTATACTTGATGTGTTTATGTTTTCCAGCATAGATCAACTTTCTAATATTTTTTAACAGCAGTCATACTAATTTGAACCTTACTTTTTTTAATATTCTTTGAAATAAAATGAGCAATCAATGTTATATAATACATATTTAACAATTCTGTTGTAAGAAGCTAAAAAATCGTCTACAGTATGAGATGACTTTGCGGTTAAAATTCCATCTTTTTGTCGCTTATCTAAGCTCCACCATGCGGTTTATGTTAAGCTACCAACAAAAACTAACAGATAGTCATGCTTTGTGTCTTTTCAGTATTTTCTTGACTCAGTTTCGGAACGAATTCTCAACTAAACTGTCACTTCCTTGGACATTTATAACAATTTGAATGAGAAATATTAGTATACCTGTTATCAAAATGCTAATCACAATCAATTTTCCTTTATATCATTTACCCATCCTTTGCAATCAACATGTCCACGAAAGCCCACAAATTAGCCAAATTTTCTGATAAAAATCGCTCGTTAATGCGTTACACAAACGGCTCTTGTAATATTCTCACCACTGTCGTATTTGTGTCGATATTTCGAATAAATTTTCCGATTAATTAACGCAAATGAATGAAAAGACACGGGAGATTTCAGTATCCTAGTGATCCACCTTTAGAAAATTCAAATGTTTAATTGTGACACTTTTAAAATGCGTAAAACATTGATAAATTGAGCCGCAGCTGTGAGCTTCCTGCGATATATTTTACACGGATTGCACTGAAACTGGATTGGAATATAGCATGGTATTTGTGAACGTTGAAACTTTTCCGACATTTCGGCTACCTCCCGAAATATCTATGATGCAAGATATATCTTCAACCAACAAAATCTGATTTGCATACTGAGAACATACAAAACAAGACAGAGCCACACTCAGAAACAAAACTTCGGTTGATACGGAGCAACTACCTGAAAAATACAAGGAGAACTTCGCTTGTGTTTTTCAGGTACTTTTTATCCCCATCAGCCGAAGTTTTGTTAGTATTAGCACATTGGTACAGACCATTCACGATCCTCACTATATCGGCTACAATGACATGCAGCATGGAAACCATAAATATCCAGACATCTCCACCTTCGCCCCCCATCATCAACAATATATTGGTCTATTATTGGATGGAAGCAATTGAAAGGTCATGTCTATAATGGGGTGGAGCTTCTATATTACAGTAAGCGTATAGGTCGTCAACAAACGGTCTCTAGTATTATTCTAGTAGAAATAACTGAAAACAGGTCAGTATTAATAAGTTATGACACTTGATGCATTTCAATATCATGCTCAATATTGCCATTCAAATTTTAATATATTTTCATTAACTGTAATTTAGAATTGAGCACGTTTTGAAATTGGGATTATTGGAACTTTGCTACAAAACTGTATTTCTCAACGAAAATGTGAGTATTGGGTTGTTATCCGTTGCATTTTGCTTGACAAATATATTATTTATGCATGTGTATAGAATATAGCGCAAGGATAATTTTACTCCGACCGTTGCAATTCAAATTGCAACGTTCTATATATGCATGAATATGACTACTGGAAGATGTTCTAAGGGTATGTGCAGCATCCGGTTGATATTTTTCATTCTTGGCGTTGTATAGCTTGACTCTTTGTCCAATATCAAAAAAGATAAAAATAGAAGGATCCAAAAATAGGTGAAATTGCAGGAGCGAATTGATTAACAACTAGTCTATATAGTTTTTCCAACGATATATATGTCAAATATATTAGACAAACTTTACGATACAATAGACGAGTTTGCATTTTCAGGAAGCAGATGCTGATATCAAACCGGTAGTGGTCAGAATGAGGAGATGTTCATTTTTTTTATGATATATGTTAGTCCTGTATTGGATGGCTTGTGAATTTTCTTGCTTCGATCAATGATCATCACCGTTTTCCTGTATCGTATATACTGAGAGCGAGAAAACAGATATACAATACGAAACATGCTGTATGAAATGTGTTTGTTTCTGTTCTTTTGAAAGTCTTTGTTTTACACGATATTTTGAGAGACATAGAAAGGATGTAACCCCTTTTCATTTTCAAGTAGCATGAAGATATGATTAGGCCTAACAACTTCCGAGTTGGCGCGTCACGACAGCGCAGAATGCGCGACTAAATGAATATTTTTTGCGAATTTTGTGATAGAAATTACTAATCCCGAACGATGACATGTAATCGTGATATTTAATCGATTCTTATCGGAATACGCCATCGATCGTTATCAAGACAGTAACAATATCACGGCGCACCAGTATTCAATTTACGTAAAAGTCAACATTGTCTTTCCGGACAACGAACCGCTCCTCCTCCACTTGGCGAGGCAAGCCAGCGTTTATTCCACTGCTCGTGTTGATTGCATAAACAACCGCTAGAGCATTGTTATTACAACCTATTGCACTCTAAAGTCGAAAAATATATTGAACCAATCGCATTGCGTTTGTGGTCGACCGTCAACTGTGCGTCTTATTAAATTTCTCAGCGATAAGTGATCGTTGGCTTTTATCGTTTAGTCGTGATCTTAGATCAACCTGTTTTAAAAGGTGCTAGATCTAGCATTTTGTAGACTTTACATCGAAGACATATTCTTATAGTTGCTTTCTTTTGAAGAATGAGGGATGTGAATCTGATTGCGTTGCTGTTGTGTAATTTATTCCTGCGAGGTAAGTGTGTGAGACTAATATTTAAAGTAATATATTCATTGCTGTGGGATGATTATTATGTGTTTGTCAAACTTATACAAGACTATCTTTGCCTCGATCTTTACATGATCAGATGATTGTGCAACGAACTGGGTCTGGTTGGGGTTAACTATTCTGTATCATCTAATGTACACATTGTGATGTAATTCCTATGATGTCCAAGCTTTGATATCCTTAGTTATGTATGTGAAAAGTTCCCAAAACGTGTGCGTTCATTATGAGGTTAATTTTTCATTACCAAAAATTTCACACTGTGCGTTCAGACTTTAGTCATTATTTTTCCATCTCTACAATTGCTGATTTTTTCACATCAGTTGAAATTACTTCAAAGCTTTTTATACAGGGCTGTCTCTTTGCCTGACATTTGACTTAATCTCGTTTCCAGTTTAAAATCACTAGCAATTTAGTTATGGCTTAAAATATTGATGTATTTAGGCAAAGCTTTTTTAGGATTTCTTCTAAATTGCTCTAAGAAAACCATTTTCAAAGGTATCTCTTCCTGTTAATAAACTAAATGTATAAGTTGGAACGGATCAAATTCCATAAAATGTTCTGGTTTTCCTTATAATAATTACTAATTTCGTTCCAAAATGAAAATGATTACTCGATGAAATAAGAAGTCCAACAATGTCAATGTCTTAAAAAGTATATCCGTGAATGGCTATTCCGTGCATCAATATAATTGTTAAGAATTATGAAACACTATATTTTACTATCTTTCCTCAATGGGTGGTCTTTCGACAAACATTGATTAACACTCTTCTTCATCTGCGCGAAGTTCATTTGGATTAATGAAGAACATTATTAGAATATGATATAGCCTTACGGCTTGCCAACTGGCCTCTATAACTCAGTTGGTCAGAGGAATGCTCAGGAATAGCAGGTTCGATTCCTGGGTCTTAGTAAATGTATAAAATTTATTCTCGAAATATTTATCTGCAGAATCCTTCAACATTTACCATTGTACCAAAATGCTCATTTCGTCATACAGCACGCACAATCCTTGTACTTGAACATGTGGGTAAATGAGAAAATTACTAGGTTATAATATTGCTTCCCGCATAGACCGTACCGTTGTCTAGACCTTGCTATATGTTGTGAAAGGCTTTCTGAAAGACAACCTCGCACTACGTCAAGGGAAGTTTATTCCTTATGTTTAGGTCGGAAACTATACTCCAAAATAGTTCAAACTAAACTAATATTGGGAGCTGCCAATATATAATGATATTTAACTTTGAATAAAAGTTTTGTAGACAGTTATAATACTTAGTTTTGTTAATACTTAGTTAATAGTTAGTTTTGAACGTTAGTCTCCCACAGGCCACAGTAAAAGACTGTGAGTTTGGGTGGTCTGAAGACTTGCTTTGTACAAATGAGATTTTTATTGCTCAGTACAAGCGACTCACATGATGATTTAATATTTGTTTACACTTCATTATGAAAGGTGGAGTTTACAACTTGGCGTCAAGGGCTCGTCACAGTGAGACTTCAAATTCTCATCGTTTGATTGTCATTTGATAAATTATAGCAAGCCCACCTCGAGAGACTAGAGTCAGTTGATCAGCGTTGTTTCCAATGCTATTATTGGAAAGATATTTCCTATGGCTGTGACTGAAATACGTAAAATTAATAGCTGCTAGCTGGCAGTTTGTATATGAAAGATGTGTTACACCACACGACTTTTGTCTAAAACCGTCGCAACTTGAGTTGTACTGTGTAAAAATCATGCACACAACTCACCTATATGTTGTCCTATCGATCAATAAAATGTTTGGTACTAAAGTAATTATGTACTCTATAACTGCAATTATAATATACACATATAATTAAAGGAAATTTGCGCTTTCGCGTTTTGCCTTTAGCGCTTTTGCGCACTCCCTACAATTAACTGAAATTCATCTGGAACGCGTTTGCGCGCTGGCTGTGTGAACAGCTGTAAGAATGCGACACGCCCGCCAAACAAAACCCACGCAAGAAAACATAACACAAGTTTGAAAAGAAACATATGTTTACCAACATGGCCAATGAATGGTTCGATTCTTGCCAGAGGACCTATATAGTTGTATTTTTTTTCAACTGCGCCTGGTTAGGTATAAAAAAATTTCCATCTAAAAAGTCCTTCAACAATTTTAGTTATGATATTTGTGGTGTTACTCTGAGTGTATATCCACACCGGGCGAGCTTGAAAAATATGCCCGGCCACGGTGGGATTCGAACCTACGACCTTTGGAATACTAGCCCAATGCTCGTATTGCATATTACTAGAATACATTGGTATCGAAGGAACTAGATTCTGTTCCGAAATATCACTTACTCGAACCGTCCTGACCGCGTAGCTCAGTTGGAAGAGCATTGGGCTAGTATTCCAAAGGTCGTAGGTTCGAATCCCATCGTGGCCGGGCATATTTTTCAAGCTCGCCCGGTGTGGATATACACTCAGAGTAACACCACAAATATCATATTCACCTGAGTACACTACACCAACACAGAAAAAAAAAATTTAGTTATATCAAGTGGGATGCCCCAAAATCTTGATATTTGCCCAATGAATCAACGCTATAACCGATAGCAGACTATATATATTAAGTTTAATATAGTTCAGTTTTTACTACGAAAAAGCATAATTATTTTTCCTATAAACAACGCCTAATTAAATGTATAACTTAACACATAAACCACAGACTGGGTGACCCGACATTACACGCTTCTGTATATTTTAATCTATTTCCTCATCAAGAAGTCAATATTGAAACATGAATATGGTAATATGAAGATATTGTCTTGTCTTGAACTAGTAAACATTATTCACTAATAAGTGGATTGTATACGAGCTCTTTGTGTTTGTATATGAAAATTTGAGTCACTTACAGTTATACACTTAATTTTCACTTCGGAAACTTTTCCAAATTTTTATACAACTTTAAAGTTTTGGCAAAGGTGGATGCCTTTAAGGAAGACAACGTCCGTTTGTGGTTAAAATACTCATTAAACTTCTGTCAAACCTTTGAGCATCTATTTAAAACAAGACGTCTGTATATTAAAAATGAATCGAATATTAATAATGCTTTGAATCCATATATTAAAAATTATAAGCGCAATCTATTTCATATAGCCTACAATATAATTATAATATAAAAAAACACATTTATAGCCATTCATAATTATACATGAGAGTATTTTAAACAATACTACCGCTTATAAAAAATTGGAAAACTTTTCTATAAAAAATGAAGAAATATATTTATTCCCACATTGGGGTGGTGTGCGTTTAAAATTGTATGCGCGTAGTGTTAATTAAGCTATTACAGAGTTGTCATCAAGTTTTCTGAGTTGCGCTTTTATTAATTTGCCGCATCGTGAATTGGCGTTTTGCCGGTAACCACAGTATGAGAAACACAGCGAATTTTGGATTATAAACTATATAATGAATATACTTAAGTATTTTTTAATGATGAGAACAGCATTGTTATTGTCAGTGTCAATACGCACAATTCCTGCTGATATATAGCATAATAAATACTTTTCTAAAAAATCAGCTGTTTGGTATATTAATAATAACTCCGTGTATTAATATACGCGTGCAGCTCATATAAATATATTGTTTGTGTTTATTGAAAATTAATATTATGCGACCACCGTGCCAAGCCTCTGGGTTGCACCTTTTATAGCCACATATTTCGCGAACGTAACAGGCACCAATGCACAAACTTATAAAGAGTATATTTCAAACAATTGAAATGCTATCTTCGGAAGGCTTTTCATGAAATCAAATTTAACGCTTTCAGAAATGTCTCAACATTTAAAATTGCAATAATATGACGAAATAAAACTGTTAAAGGGGGAAGTTTTGTGGGCATATATTGATGTCGTAAAAAGCGAGCGGTATCGTGTCAATGTGCATTATTTACTTAAACCAGAGTAGCAATATAAACTTCAAGTCGAAACGTGTCAGTGTATACATGAGAACAATACTCTAAGTGTTTTTGAAGAGGACCCGTCTGTCCTTGACGTAATGACGAAGTTTTGTAAGCTGCTCATTGCTAATTTTATCTCACTGATATTACGAGTCACGAGACGCGGAATAACATATTAGTATTTGCTTGAGCCTGCATCGTTTACAGTTGGAATTTTGCATAGATAAAGTTTTGAAGGATTAGTTGTAAGAAATGTTTGAGGAAACTGACTTATATGACTCAATAATTCCTTCTTACCAATCCTTCGAAACTTAGAATTTATCTACGCAAAATTTCTGCTGTGATCACAGAAACTTTGATAGTGTAAACTAGGCTTACGATACGAGACACAGAAGAACATATTATTTTCTTAGACGATCGATCGTGTTTCGGAAACGAAGACCAATGAACTATATAGTTTATGCAATCTGTCTTCAATCTAACGTTTTCGAAACACAGAGATCATATCAACAGTTAATAGATATTTTAAAATACGCCCTAAATCCCCCTAGAAAGAGATGTCTGCCAAGTTAAGCTGTTTAATTAAACTATATATTATGCCACGTGCATTCTTGTCATAAGTACATTCTCGTTGCGAAGATCGTGATACACAACCCACTGCCTTGATATCGGCCCGGAAACATACTGGCTACAGATAGTCTGCGATACTCGGCTGTAGGTAGAAAAATAGTTGATAAGGTCTGTAAACCTTTTTGAATGAGATAAGAAGCATTAGGAGTGGTCTAGACGTGAGCGGAGGAGGATTTTAATTTAATCTAATCAAGTTGTCAACAATTTCCATACGAGAGCGAAAGCCTTGATAAGATGTTGAATTAATTTGAAGAATTTATACTTAATTAATGCATGAATTGAAGGACATTCTTTTTTAGCCAGAAATGTCGAGTGTCCATTGGTTTGCATTTTCTAACATTCTTGTACTGTGCTAAAACTCGCATTAAAAACTAAACTAAACAAACTTTATTTAAACTGGATGGCTCTATATCAGTTCTAAATTGTTATCCCTAGAGATTCAGTAGGAAAGATCCCTTAATTATTGGTCCAGTCTTCAGGAGGAAACCTAAACTAAACTAACTTTATATAAAAATATATGGAAAGCTCTATCAGTTCTAAATTGTTCTTTCCTAGACCTAGAGGTCCAGTAAGAACCATTCCTTCATGGGCATCCCTTCAGATTCAGCAGCAACTATTTTCAAGATGCTAAATTTTTTCTTCTCTTATTTAAATTTCAGCCCAACAAGCAAATTTCTCCAGCAAGCCACCGCGTGGAATTATCAAAGCAAGAATTGGCGAAGATGTCACCTTTAATTGGAACTATACTGTAGAAAGTGGCGAATCATTGGTGGTTATGCAACTATTCTACAGCAAAACAGACCAGTTTGAAAGTTCTGCCAAGACTAAGAGAATTGCTGATATATCAATTAACAAAGTGTCTATTATTCCCGCTTTCCAAGGAAGAGTTAGTGTTGCACTCACTGGAAAACTAACGTTACATAATGTCAGCGTTGACCAACGAGGATTTTATAAATGTTCTGTATCACTAGCAGGCCAAAGTTATACTCCTTCTGATAAAGCACAGTTATTTGTTGGACGTAAGTGTAGTTATTGTGTAGTATTTCAACAAATATTGCTATGGTCAGACGTGTCCAGTTAACCCATTACGTCCAAATGCACCCTACTTTGTTATCTGTCTAACGCCAGACAATTTTACTCGTCAAGGTGGAGCGCTGGTTCTCAATGTGTTAAAGTTGTAGATGTACCTACAATGTGGCCTACAATCTTGGCAAAAAGTTAATGAAAAACCATTAAAAAAATCTATAAAATAGACAAAATCCCCTCCCCCGAGAACAATGTTGGTCGTAGAGTCTAAAAAATTGTGTTCAATAGTTCATCGATGACAGAGAGCACTATGTGTAGGTTTTTTACTCATCTTAATCAACATTGAAAGGGGGGAAGAATAGATTAAATTTTTAATCATACTGGATGTTTCATTATAGTTTTTGCCAGGATTGTAGCCTCACATTCAACTTTTATTTCATCACTTTCCAGTTCCTCCCGTGATCTATTCGTCCCCAGCATCTCATATCACATTACTTGAAGATGATCACGTGGACATTTCATGCAAAGCGAGTGGTAGCCCAGACCCCAGTGTATCATGGTACAGACAGTCACCGCACGGTTGGAAGAAACTGAGTGAACACAGATTACAAATTAAAAATGTGAAAGTGTCGGACTCGGGAATGTATAAATGCAGTGCTAGGAATTTTATGGGAAGTGAAGAGAAAACAGTGACATTAGCAGTGTATGGTACGTATTTTATTCACCATAATACACACTACGAAATGGCATCACCTTGCTATATCAGTCAGTCAAATCTTTATTTAAGCACGGTAGCTTCGTCACGTTACCAAAAATAGTCATCTGCATTAATAAGTTTAAAAATTGTACAAGCCTATATGGTACATCAATAATTATACCTGTTTTCCATGAATGCCTTGTCTATCGAATATGTTTCAACAATTGTCGAAATTCAGTAAGAGATTCGGCTTGTCTTATATTGCTAGGTAAGCTGTTCCATAACACCGTTATAACTACAGCATATCCGAACTTGTGATTAGAGCTCCATACTGGACTCTGTAGCTCAGTTGGTTAAAGCACTGCACCGGAATCGCAGGGCCGTGGGTTCAATTTCTGCCAAAGGTCTAGACTTGTACATAATCTTCTGCTTGAAACAAAAACCCCATTTGTGCAGTCTAGAATAACTCCTGATATCTTATTTCTTCCATCCAGAGAGGCCAACAGTGACGTCATTCTTTCACACGGCTGCACTGGATAACACTGTGTACGAATGTGACGCGATAATTTTCACGTGCGAGGCTCGTGCAAACAGTCTTCCTGTTAAAAACATTTATATCTACCATGAAGGCAGGCTGGTCCACCGTAGCATAAATACTGACAGAGTAACTTTGTCTGGTGGCAGTAAGACATCGCTGGCTGGCGGAAGGAGGACGGGACGATTGAGGATAGCAGAGGTTAAGAAGGAACACAACGGGAGATACTATTGCGTTGCTGAAAATGAGCATGGATTCGGATATAATAAAACAATTGATTTGAAAGTAATTGGTAAGTACAACCCCCCCCCCCCCGGATCAAGTGACTTGTGCATGCAACGTATCACGAAGCTTTACATTTGAGGCATTGCTTTAGATTTGTAGTATCTAGTGAAAAACAGTATGAAATATAAAAACATAATCAAAATTGGCCTTAAATTTCATGTAATATATAGCTTAATTTTTACATTGGCACTATCCACACTGGCAAAGACAGTGCAAGCTTAATTTTTAGCCTACCAAATACCATTTGATGGTTACAAAATTATTTTTACAGCTCAATTAACAACACAGTTATTCAGCCATCAGTCAAAGGCTTTGAAGGCTTTCAGAAATTATTGGAGTGCAGTTGCCTCCTCTCTGACATAGTCGTTTTCAATTCTGCTGACATATCGTTTTCATATTTTTCAGACGCTCCGAAAAACTGTGAAAGAAAGAGGAGTTTACAGAAAACCAGTACCACGAAACGCCAAAATGATACATCTGCCTCACCAACTGGTAAGCATTTTTGCGCATTAAAACAGTAGCGAGCTGTTTTCGTTGTGATTATCTGGACTATATATCAAGAAATGTTTCCAAAGTTATTTTTACTTTTCCATGGAGTGTTTCCACAAACCAAACCTATATAAATGTATTTCAATAGTATTTATTGTAAATCATTCCATTAAGTTTTAAATCATTTATAGTTTCAGATCAGAGGGTTGGTTCAGATCGTTCATTACCAACAACAAAGAACGATACAGTTCCGGGATTCCATTCTAGTTCACCAAATGCAAGACCTAGCTTGCTTTTATTCACATTGTGGATATGCCATTTAATGTTCTGCAATGTGTTCTCCTGAAGCCCAACTTAGTGAAGTCGGAACTGTGGTACAACTTTGTTCAATTTTTAACCCGGAAACCTTTTGGAAAGATCCAATGGAAATCGCTGATAACCAATTCACCATCGTGTTCTTTTTACTTTATCGCCACAGTCTTGAAAATACCTTGGAAAAATCCCCTTTGCCCCTTTGGATTTGTAAGAAACGTCACATGAAAAAATGGATCTAGACTCTAGATTTTTGCAAGGTCGACTAGAGTTACCGAATCGATGGGACGACAGCGGAGAACGATGGGACGACAGCGGAGAACCCAAGGTTTTCCTACCCTAGCGTCAAGGCAGGCGCTTGCTGGTTGGGTTGGGGATGGGGTGAAGTTATATTGAATTAAAATAGAATATATTTTAATAATTCTCTCTTGGCTGATTACTTGCCATAGAGAGTTGACTGAGACCCAGATGAAAAAACAGTATAAATAGTAAATAGTTTAATGTAATGATACAGTCACCTTATATTGTAAATAGTATAAAAAATAAATAAAGATTATGATAGAATTATTTAATTAGGTGTGGTTAATTTCTTTGATTGAGTTGTATGGAATGGTTTGGATCATATTATGTGGATAGTATGGTATAGTATGGTGTATGGTATGATATGGTATGATGGGGATGGTCATTTACCGAAGTCACGTAAGATACCAAGGCGTACCAATGTGCTTAACCACGAGGTCACAGAGTAGGAACATAACGAGGTCAGTGGAGTCGAACCTTCGGGCTGTACAGTTGAAATCTTTGGTGGAGAAGATAAAATGAAATAAATTTCATTCTTGGATTTACAAACGAAGTAGTGTTCAATTTTCCAATATGGCCGCCAGAGAGATGTCAATATTTGCTGATTTCGAGTACAATTTTGTACAAAAAATAGACCAGGAAGAACAAAAGTCGTTTAATTATACTTGAAAGTATTTTCAGCCGACGCTATTTCTACAAGAATTCAAGGTTATCAAATGCTATAAAATACAGGTATGACAGTTTTAAATAAAATTTATTAATGAAAACCCTTTTATCGGTTTGTCCTGGTCCAATTCATGAATTAAAGTTGAATTATCCTGGATAACGAACAATACATATATAGCCCATTGAATTGCATTGTGCTCTATATAAAATGCTCCCTACTTTATTATTTTACTCTGTCTTAATATGCCACAGACATTTTTTTATTAGTTTTACAATAAGAAATTGAAGGCATAGACAACTAATAAAGTCCCAAATTAAGTCCTGCCATACATAAAAATCGAGATAAAAATACTATGCTATTTATACTATGCTATACTATACAGACATTCCAACTACTGGCGGTAAAATTTAGGGAGACTGTTCAGTGAATTGAAATCTAGTTCTTCTGGGAAAAAGTAATAGAAATTAAGTCTTCTGAAATGGCGTTTCCTGCATTTTGGGACTATGTTGTTATAAATGATCCTATAAATTGCCATAAAGTAACTTCAAAAAAGGTCCGAGACAGACTATTATGTTGCTAAAAACAGTATATTTCTAATTTTTTATGATATTTCCTGAATATTCTGAAAAATCGGGAGAATTTGATAAAAATCGGGAGACCGGGAGATTGCATGAATTTTCGGGACGGTAAAATCGGGAGAGTTGGAATGTCTGACTATACCATACTATAAACAGCTATAAAATAAATAAAATACAAGCTAGTTACATGTTTATGGGACTACACTGTCTACACATAATTACATTTGTACAAAAGCTCAGAACATGCACTTCTACGAACAACAAGACATATTAAAACAAGAACAACATTTTACTCGTCAAAGGGAAATACTTTCCATCAGAACCTCATGGACTATTAGAATTATTTACAACTGATGTGATGTTAGAACATTAATGAACATCTAGGGATAAAATAGAAAAGGTGCAAAAACAAATGTTGTTGCTAGGCAACAGCGAGCCGAGCAAGAAAAGCATGACCTTTTGTAGTTAATAAAGAAAATATAGAAAACTTGTTGAAGTTCACCAAAACAGTACAACTGAAACAGTAGTTAACTTTGCCGTAGTCAGTGAAGTATCTATAGTAAACATTTATGCTGTGTTCTTAAATTCACTTGCATTGACATAAAGGGGTGCTTCTCTTAGTGGTGCATAAAAATTATCCTCTTCCTCATTCAGATTCCTGCGCAGGGATGTGTATGCTTCATTTTCGTCCTCCACTGATACATTGTGTTCATTAGTAACCTTGTTGGCAGCGTTCAATTCCTGCTGGTTCTCGTATAACCCACCCTCATTTGCGATGCGTTTCAAGGTTACTGTATCTACTTTTTTGGTTTCATTCAGTTTTCTTTTTAAGAGTTTAAGATGGTTGACAAAATAGGCAATGATGATCAGCAGGATAGCAACTGTTATTGCGAGGATGACAATAGCTATGACAAACGATTGATCATTGTCCTCTGATTCATCTAAAAATATTGAAAATTATATTGTTAAAACCACTGTCATCAAATCACCACCACTACCGTCACCATTACCATCATCACCACTACCATCATCATCACCACTACCATCATCATCACCTCTACCATCATCATCACCTCTACCATCATCATCACCACTACCATCACCACTATCATCACCATCACCACTACCATCATCATCACCACTACCATCATCATCACCTCTACCATCATCATCACCTCTACCATCATCATCACCACTACCATCATCATCACCACTACCATCATCATCACCTCTACCATCATCATCACCTCTACCATCC